CAAATATCGAATAATCCATTGAATTATGTTTTCTATACAATAATAGGATTATTATATAAAATAGTATTTAAAAAGCCATCATTTAAAAAACACAAGTGCTATTGAAACAGAAAGTTGCAAAACATGTGCACTCTACCCCCAAAACAACAGCTATTACATATGATCAATGCATTTATAAAGTGACTCCTAGTGGGTCCCTAAGAAAATTGCTAAAAACTAACAAAGCCAAACCCCAATACAGTACTTTGCATCCTTCAAAAAACACTAAAATGAAATATGGAGGGTTTAAAAGCTAAACACTATACACCAGACATGTCAAACTCGCGACGTCATGTGACATCGCACGACATATCGGGACAGTTTTGCCATTGACGGCAATGGGGTGGGCGCAGCTTCCATATGACACATCCAGCCCGCGGGCTGGCAGTTTGACACCCCTGCTATATACAGAAGACCCTGGGATAACATCCATATTTTTAAAAGCAGCCATGAGCTCACAGTGCAGACTGAGAGAGTACAATTACCTTTTTTTCTAGTTGAGGAATATTCCTTCCTCATTGCTTCCAACTTTCCAAAATATCACCCAGGAATTCTAAATAATATCTGTTTAATTTATTATAAAATAACAAGATCTGCACTATAATCAACCAATGAAGTTGTTTGACATTACTTGATTCCCAGATTTGTTTTTTAAAATAATAATAATTATTATTCCTTGCCCTCAAAAACCAGGTTAGCAGCAGCTGGTCCGCTCACAGTCAGTAATTGAAAATTGCCATCAGTAATTAAACCAGCTGCACTGACTGGCCTGTTTTTTGACAGCAAGCAAAATCTGCTTTCAACGGCATCTCAGCAGACACAGTGATGTCCCTGTGCAAGCATCACTCTGCAATGAAATCATGATGCAGGTATGGAGAAGAAGGGGGCGGGGCTTGTCCAGCCTTGCTGGGGACATTTTTGCCCAGCACGCCATTATGACTTGTAAGCCCTAGGCATGTTTGCCTTTGTGGGCCCCTCCGTCTATAAACATAATTGAATTAAAAAATATATGCCATATGATTGTCAATATAGTGTTCATATATACGAGGAATAATAAATAATTCATGTATCATTTGTTGTTGACAATTACGTTGTCATATATCATCAAAGTGACAAAATGTTGGCATTTACACTATGCCCATAGATTACAAATAAGATCATCCATTTGATGTTCAAATGTTATGTATTTCTTGCCTTAATTTTAATTAAAGGGCATGAAGAGAAATAAACATTTGTTAAAAGGCATGAAAAGAAATTTTTATCTGTTCCAATTTTTTTTTTAAAAAAAAAAAATACATTTTGGTGAACCCCTTGGGCCACCCCGTTCCCTATCTTGATCTGAGAATATTTCAGTTTATTCCTTTCACCATATGTTTACCTTAGGCACGTCAAGCAAGGGTTTGGCCTAATTCTATCTTCCTGTGAAATTAGCTTGGAAGTTTACCAGGAGAATTTGATGGCTCATTTGTAGTATTGTAGCTTTTGATTGTTAGGGATGTGTTAGGGATGTGAACTTGGATTCATTGAGAGACTGACTTTTGATTGCTTTTTTTTTTTAATTCTCATGGTTGCATCTTTTTAGCTTCTATTTTCCTTTCTCTGAATTAATAATATTTTAGCTACTTGTTGTACTCTTATTGTGAGAGCCACTTTGGTGTAGTGGTTAAGGCACCAGGCTAGAAACAGGTCAGCTGAATGACTTTGAGACAGTCACTTTTTCTTGGCCCTAGGAAGGAGCAATGGCAAATCACTTCTGAAAAACCTGGCAAGAATACAAGTTGTGCTTGAATTATGGCCACAACAGAGCCTAAAATATCTGTTGCCAAGCAGAATTTTGTTAAGTGAATTTTGCCCATTTTATGACCATTCTGGCCACAGTTGTTAAGTGAATCACTGCAGTTGTTCAGTTAATAACATGGTTGTTAAGTGAATCTAGCTTCCTCATTAACTTTGCTTGTCAGAAGGTCACAAAAGATGATCACATGACCCTGGGACACTGCAACCATTATAAATGATGCCAGATGCCAAGCGTCTGAATTTTGATCACATGACTATAAGATACTGCAGCCATTATACATGTGAAAATTGGTCATTGTAACTTTGAATGGTCACTAAACAAATAATTGTAAGTTGAGGACTAATTTGTGACCATAATTTGTACTGCAGGAATATGTCAGGGCAATCTCTAAGAATAGAATAGAATAGAATAGAATAGAATACAATACAATACAATACAATACAATACAATGCAATACAATACAATACAACTGGAAAGAACCTTGGAGGTCTTCTAGTCCAGCCCTCTGCTCAAGCAGGAGAACCTATACCAATTCAGACAAGTGACTGTCTAGTCTCTTCTTAAAAACCTCCAGTGATGGAGCACCCATGGTTTTTGAAAGCAAGGTCTTCCACTGGTTAATTATCCTCACTGTTAGGAAGTTTCTCCTTAATTCCAGATTGCTTCTCTCTTTGATCAGTTTCCAACCATTTTTCTTGTCCTGCCCTCTGGTACTTTGGAGAATAATTTGACCCCCTCTTCTTTGTGGCAGCCCCTCAAATACTGGAATACTGCTATCATGTCATCCCTATTTCTTCTTTTCTTTAGACTAGCCAAACCCAAGTCCTGCAGCCGTTCTTGAAAGATATGAAAGATTAAAAAAACCATACTTTCATTGTATTTTTAAAATATTACTCTGCATATTGTAATTCTTCTCCTTTACTAGTTTTCTTGATGATTTTTAACCAAAAAAGTGGTATACACATTTGTTAAAACCTAAACAGGCTAGGGCCTGTCTATCTGAAGAATGTGCTCTGAATCTGGCCAGTTTTTAAAACTTTTAAAAACTTTTCTACAGTAATTTAGCACAACAGAAAAACAATCTATGTAATCCTATGTTTTTATCTCTTTGTGTATATGTGTGCATGTGTAAAACAGAGAGTGTTATAACTAGACAATGATGCTGCTTTTATCATTTGAAAAATGTTGGCAAGTATGAAATTAATTAGGAATTGTTAAGCTTGTATACAACAAAAGAGAAGAGAGTAGGTGGGCAGAGAACAGCTGTCAAAACTGAACTTTTGTGAGTGTCCATTTCTGAGTGTTCAGCTGTACAAAGTAGAAAAAACATGTTTATTTGCTTCAAACATCAGCATCTCTGGCATTATTGAAAAGCAAGGTGGAATAAATGAGAAAGATGAGGTAGACACACACACACACACACACACACACACACACGTATTCAAACACACATACACAGACCACTCATACTCTTATTTACATATAGTTACTGTGCTACATTCAATTTCCTGAGAGAGAAAGACTACTATACAATACAAATACACTAACCAATTAGAAACTTCATATTCTAATTGTCTTTCTGTAAACCTGTTCTCAATTTGAGGTCTTGACAGAGCTAGAATACAGTTGAGCAATTTTTGTATGTGAAGCTATGTTTTCATTGATATTGCCTGAAATGACACTTGTTGTAGGAGAAGGAATGCCAGAACCCTGATGCGGAGTTAAAAGAAGGAATGGTCTAGTATCCCTATATAGCCACAAACCTGAGTGCTCTTGACTCTTATCTAAACATTGGCTTGCAGTAAGAAATCCATTTAATTGCACTTTACATGTACTGTAAATCTGGTCTTTCATGCCTGATACTTGCCTTGTTTTCAGCCATATCATATAACTGACTCATATTCAGTTTGGGTATAGCTGCAGTTCCAAGATATTTTTCAAATGTCCTATTTCAAGCCCAGTATTTTTTCTGCTGAGCCAGTTTGTTGTGGTGGTTAAAAACACTAGGGTAGAAATTGAGAGACCATGAGTTCTAGTTCTACCTTAAACACAAGGTCAGCTGGGCCAGCCATTCTCTCTCAGTCCTAGGAAGGAGGTAAGAAATGGTAATGACACGAGAAGCAGTTGTAGTTCTCAGGAACCCCTTTATTTCTGTTCAGCATACTGGTTACAAGACGCCGACAACGCCCAAATCTCCCTGCCCTTTTTATAGGCGATTCCCAGGCCAAACTGCAATATTTGCCGCGCTTGCACTCGCGCATGCGCACGAGTGCTGGCGACAGCCAGTCTGGTCCCGGGCAGCTTACACCTGCCCGGGACCGTTGCAATGCCCCAAGCCTGCTTTCACAGGCTCAGGACATAACAAAAACCAATTCTCAAATCTTGCCAAGAAAACTACAAGAATTAGTCCAGGCAGTTGCCAGGAGTCAATACTGACTTGAAATGAAAAAGAAAAATCTCTTTTCTATATTGTATTTATTTTATTTTCTCTATTCTGGTATTATTTCAGCCCATTTTTGACCTATCAAGATTGTTTTGAATTCATTTTTGCTCCTTAGTTTGTTAATTATCCCAGGTAGTATCATTGGTCTTCTCTGTATAAGACATTTTGTGGTTTTTACTATTTAATTCAAACTCAAAGGTTTGAACAATATATTTTTTAAAAAAATCCTTAACAGTTGCAGAAATTACTATTTTTTTATATGTAAACGATCATCAAGAGAACATTTCCATGCTGCATCAGTATTAAAGTTTTAGCTAGGCTTAAGCAAATGCTAAGCAAATCAAATTTTATAAATTGAGCTTTCCAAAAACTCCTGTGTGGTATTATATTATCCTCAGAATTCAGAGTTCAAAATTGCAGTCATGTGGAGTTTACTATTTACTATTCAGTTGCTTGGAATATGCAACCCTGTTTCTTGCATTTGTTGTTCTCTGTGATTCCGAACAATGTCCCTCCAACCAACGGCAAATGTACATATTTTCGACATTGACTACATAAATGACCAATTGTTCTGGATATGTAGGCTGAAGAAATATGGATGGAATTATGACTCTTTCTTGTAGAGCAACAAGATACGAATGGCAAACAGATTACTTTTACAAATCTGTTTGGCATTCCAGAAGTTAGGATCTGAAAGAAACATGCTTTTTTTTGATGCAGAATTTAATAGATGAGTGCAACCAAACCACTCTGCAACAGGATATAGCAGTTGCAAATTGTTTGGCCTCTGAGGATCTTGCCCAAGAAGAGAGAAAAACAGAGAACATTAATATAGCAACCAGGACAGATAATAACATCATGAGCTTCTTCAAAACACTGGTAAGATGCTATCATTGGCTTTTCCCTATCTGATATGAATTGTTACACATATTTTCTATCCATTGTTTCCTTCTTTCCTTCCTTCCTTCCTTCATTCCTTCATTCCTTCCTTCCTAATTTAAAATGGGCAATTTAAAGTATGACAGCAGCAGAAAAGTAACTATCATAGAAGCCAAATGTAAAATCCTGTAAATCGTGTATGGCAGATAAGAAGATAGTGTGGCTGGTTATACTTGCTAGACAATGTAGAAAGCAAGACTTCTGTTTTAGAAGAAGTAAGGAACTTATAGAATAATTTTCCTCAGATTGGCACCCAACAGTTATATTGGACTGGAATTCCTTTGCTTTTAGGAAGAGTCATCTTAGCCAGAAATCTTTGGATTTAGGGTGCGAAATTGAAGAAAGCTATTATAGAAGAATGTAAGTTAACTGAATATGAAGGGCTGTGGTTTTTATTCATTAATTAGGAAGATAAAGTCAAAATTATCAGATATATTCTGATGGGGGTTACAGGTTTTTAAATTGTGGAATTTAAGAATTCGTGAATTGGGCAACCATTTAAATGTATTATATTCATAAGTAAATGTTCTTTCTCAAAAGCAGGATTTTTAGTTAAGCACAATGAAAAAATATGTACCAGTATCAATGAAGAAATAAAAAAACCTGCATTAAGATTTTTATTCAGAAACAATGGTCTTTAAATTCAACCTATATAGAACTTCTAAACAGCATAAGACTGACACTAAAGGTTAATTTTAAAAACCACATGAATTCAGACACGTTTCTTGGGGGGGGGTGTTCCCTTTTACATATGCATTAAGTAGTTTGAGGACAGAATATAAGAAAATAAAATAACTGCTGGAAGGAATCAAAACTTGATCAAGACTGGTAATACTTTTTCCAATAGTGGATAATTAGAAGATAATATCTGGGATTGTATATCCTGCAAAGCATCCTGCTAAGCATTAGTGTGGGTTCTTTGTTTTCTTACTTTGACTCAAAGCAATATAATACTGTAGTCAACAAAATGTGTATAACTGGAATGATGGCATGGAATGTAGTCTGGAATCCCAGGAGGGAGGGGTTGCTTCCCAGAGGTCAAAGAGGCAGCAGAGCTTGGAGAGTTTGGTAGGCAGGAAGAGAGTTAAGATGGCCACTGCTTAGCAGTTCACAGAATACATCCATTTTGTATATATAGTCTAGCAAGATTCCTAGGTGAATAACAATAAAGAAACTACCCAGCAGTAACTCCCTATGCTGTTCTTGGTTCTTGGGCCTTACGAGTGACTTGTGAAACAAACAAACAAACAAAGAAACAAACAAAAAATGAATGAATTTATTCATCACAAGCAGCGGTTGTTCTGCCATCTAGTGTTGATTATTTTTTGTGAAAAAAGCTTCCAATTTCTTTTCTAATATAGATAGATGTTTGTCCAATTTGATTGTTTGAGTGGAAAATGTAACTTTACCAGATTGTTACTTTGCTTCACATATAGTTAGAAACTTCTTCATTTCAATTTATATCTCTGTATTTCAAAACTATGTCCTCCTACTTCCATTTGCCTCTCAATCAATGACAAGATTTGGAATAGTTTTACAAACTGCAATTTCAAGAATGATTTTTGTATTGAAAGGTTTCACCAAGCAAAGCTGATTCCAAGTGTGACACTGAGGATAAGGTGAGTATCTTTCTCCTTGCAAGTTCAACATTTGAGGGGTGGTTTTTTGGGGGGGGCGTATCTGTCTGGGTATTTCAGGATTGATTCACACACACACATCTCATCTTAAATGGAAAAGCACTGCATCTGATGTGAAGTTGGGTGATTTTAAATTTTATGTGTCATTTAATTTGCATTATTTTACTTACTTCATTTTACTTATTTGATCTACTTTTATGATGTTCAGAACTGCATACATGATCCTCATTTGTTTTACCTTCACAACTGCCTTATTATTCTTGGAGGCCACACTGGACAAGTGGAGGCTGCTAGCTTGGGGAAAGCTATTGTAAATTATGTTAGATAAGGAGTTGAATTCAATTCGCATTAAGCATGATGTTTGTGATGACTAGTTTCACTCATCTGTTTCATTTTGGTTTTTATTGTTATAAGAATTGAGTCTGTTGTGGTTTATTTCTGCCAAAGTAATATTGTTGCCTACACCCAGAGAGGTTTTGCTAAGGCTAATGACTCATCTATTAAAACTCTTGTGTCTTTTAGATTGTTTGTAACCTTCAATTTGGCAAATTTCATAGAGCAACTGTTATGTCCTGGGCCTGCTGAGTGACTCAGCAGATGCAGGAAGCTGCAGAGAGCCCCGGGCAGACCACGTGGTTCAGACAGGCTGTCTCCAGCCTATTGCACACGCGCAAGGCAGGGGAATCCGTTGCATTGATTGACTGACACTGTCCCTGCAAAGGGGTATATAAAGGAATCTGCGCCATTTTGTTTTGGTTCTGTTGGAGATTCAGTAAAGAAGTATCTGTTGTTCGTCTGCCTCGTCTCAATACCTTACCAACGCACAGAACAGAACAGCAACAATGTTTAATCAATGGATCTCAAATGGACCAATTTACAGTATATGTCTAAAATCCAAAAGCCATGACTCTTGGCAAAGTTGTGACCACTTCAGTGTTGTCACATCACCACACAACTGTGGTCAGCTGTGGTTACATGATTGCCATTTCGGTGGTAGATATATGTGGATTTCTTGCTAGATAAATGCATGCTCAAATAATATATTCTTGCAAATACAGGTAGTCCCTGACTTACAACAGTTCATTTAGTGACTGTTTTTTACATTTACACCCTTTGTAGAATCCCCATGATCATGTGATCAAAATTCAGATTATAATCGTTGCTGTGTCCCAAGATCATGTGATCACCTTTTGCAACATTTTGACAAGCAAAATCAATGGGGAAGCCAGATTCACCTAACAACCGTGTTACTAACGTATCAACTGCAGTGATTCACTTAACAACTAAGACAAGAAAGGTCATAAAATGGAGCAAAACTCACTTAAGAGCAGACATTTTGGGCTCAATTGTGGTCCTACGTAGAGGACTATCTTAATTGAAAAAAAATGCAATGCTATATAGTATTTAACAGAATATAGAATTCTCTTCAGTGAAGTGAGATTTGTGGATATGAGTTCTGAGTTTTATAAAGACATTGTGCATAAACTATTGCTGATGCCTGTTATGGGCAAAAGGAAAATAGAGCATGCAATGAAAATTCAACTTTGATTGATGTCACACAAAGGGATCTCAAACAGGCCATGGTGGGCAGCTTGCTGAGAAGACGGCGACTGATTCCCTTGTCAAAAGCACCAAGAAAAAGAAGCCAGACAGCCCACGATTAGGACATAGTACATTTAGCAAACTGTTTAGACATAAGGTTGGTATGTTGGGAGAGTAAAATGAAGATCTCGAACCCTGAATAACAACAGATAACGTTTAAATCTTCTTATCCTGAATGTCAACATGTAGCAGCTAGACTTACCGAAAAGCAAATCTTCAGTTGGAGAATTTTTCTTAGAATTGTTGCTGGCTTTGACAAAGATATAATTTGGCAATAGGGAAGTATCGTGATAATTCTGAATATCTATCTCTTCATTAATATCTGTGAATTCAGGGTTCAATGGAAGGAAGTTCCCACTGACTGCATATTCACTGCTATTTTCTGTGTCTTGTTATTGAGCCTTTCTCACTAACAAAACCTGTGCTACCCTAACCAGAACTTAGAGCAATTCCATACTGCCATTAGTTTCACTCCACAAAGCAATTTGAAGCTGAACTGTGTGACTGTCTTTCCTTCTCTTTGAAATGTTGAAAACAAAGCATGAAATTCAGTGCCCTGCCCCCGACTTACTGCCAGTCATGCAATAACTGCTCCCCTTTTCAACCCTGCCATCACAGAAGAGGAAGGAAGGAAGGAAGGAAGGAAGGAAGGAAGGAAGGAAGGAAGGAAGGAAGGAAGGAAGGAAGGAAGGAAGGAAGGAAGGAAGGAAGGAAGGCTCAAATATCTTTGAGTTTTTCAATCTTGTTAGTCCTGGATTGAAGAAAAGGAAACTGATTAAATTCCTTCCATATGAAAAAGTTGTTAGGCCCAGTTAATTCAAGCTCCATATAAAAGAGCTACACTGATCATAGAACCAGAGCTGATTTTAGGAAATTATAACACATGTTAAATATGTTAAAACTAGCAACATTGAATGTGTTGTAAACACAACTCCTTGAATTCCAGCATTATCATGGCACCAATACCAGGAAGGCTGCTTTATAAAATGAAAATGTGAAGGATTTCCTTGGCATAGATTCTTATTTCCTGGGAAATGAGTTTTCCATGCTTCACTGAGTAGCAGCACTGCTGAGTTTGCTACTGTGCTTGCTGAGCCAGCACAATTGGATGGAACACCATCACAAAACCTAGGACAACAGGCTATACTGTGCATGTAAAACATGTTCTTGGGGGGGGGGGAAGGTTGGCACCAGTTTTGTATGATTGCCAAGGGGAGTTGCAAAACCAGCTTGATAAGACAGTGTCCATATAGTTACCATGAAGCCATTTCTACTCAATGGTGTCTGCAACTTATTTTTTTTTTTTTTTTTATTAAAAGTTTTATAAATTTTACAAGAAAAACAAGAACAATACAGAACAAAAAACAACATATACAAAAGAAAAAAAGTTAAACAATACATATATAAAAAAAAAAAAAAACCCCACCCCACACCCCTCCCAAAAACCCTCCCTTCCCCCCCCCTGAGCTTCCCAGAGCAGAATATAGGCTTGAGAAATAAAAAAAAATAAAAATTAAATTAAAAACTTTATGTTTATATATATAAAAAAGATATCTATAATATATATAAAAATAAAACTTATGAAAAAGCTATATGATATTTTTGTATACCCAATCTAAATTGTATAAATTTTATCCATTTGTCCCAGATAGCAAAAAACTTCTCTTGCGTTTGTTGCTTTAAGAAAGCCGAAATCTTTGCCATTTCCGCCAGATAAGCTACTTTAAAAAACCATTCCTGCAATGTAGGCAAAGATTCCTTCTTCCAATATTGTCCAACTAACAGCCTCGCGGCTGTGATCAAATTTAACATCAATACAACCTCCTTTGTATCACAATCTGTAACAATACCTAACAAAAATAATTGCGGAGTAAATTTTACCCTCCTTCTAAAAATTCTCTGGATATTCCACCATATTTTGATCCAAAATGCTTTTATCTCTCTGCATGACCACCAAATATGATAATAGGAAGCCTCCTTATAACCACATCTCCAGCATTTAGGTTGCACGTCAGGGTACATGTAAGACATTTTTTGTGGATCAAGGTGCCATCTATAAAACATTTTATAAAAATTCTCCCTTAGATTCTGTGCTTGAGTAAAATTGACATTTCTCACCCAAATAGTTTCCCAGGTGTCCAATGAAACTGGCTCACCAAAGTTCTGCGCCCATCTAATCATACAATCTTTAATTAGTTCCGTTTCTGAGTCCAATTCAACTAAAAACCCATAAATTCTCTTAATGTGGGTTTGTCTTTGATCCTTCAGTTGCTTAATAAGATTTTCATCTTCTCTAAGAAAACCCACCTTACAATCCATCTTCCATCTATCTAGTAGTTGCCTATATTGGAACCAAGAATAAGTAAAATTTTCTTGTGCTAATTCTTCCCGTGATTTTAATTGCCAGTTTTGTCCATCCCATTTAAGTAACTGTCTATAAGTCACCATATCCATTTTAAACCCTCTTTTTATTCCTTCTATCGCATGCCAAGGTATAGCCCATAATGGTACTTTAAAATCACTTTTATAATATTTTCTCCAGATCCTAAGTAAAGAAATTCTTAAAATATGAGATTTAAAAGCCCAATCTATTTTTTTATTAAATATTAAATAGGCATGCCACCCATAAAATAAATCCCATCCCTCTAGATAAAGTATCTCAGAGTTTGTCAAATTTACCCAGTCACTAATTAATGTTAAAACCACCGCATCATAATATAATTTCAAATTTGGTACCTTGAGTCCACCCCTCTCACGGAAGTCTTGCATAATTTTGAACTTAACCCTTGGTTTTTTACCTGCCCAAATAAATTTATTGAGACCCTTCTGCCACTCATTTAAATTAATCTCATTTTTCAAAATTGGTAACATTTGAAACAAGAAAAGAAACTTGGGTAGAATATTCATTTTTATCACTGCAATTCTTCCCATGAGGGATAATTGCAACTTTTCCCAATTTTTCAAGTCTTTCTGTACCCTGACCCACAACCTTTCATAATTATTTTTAAATAATTTTGCATTAGAAACAGACAGCATCACCCCCAAATATTTTACCTTATTAACAATCTCAAAACCCGTCGAGTTAACCAAAATCTGCTTCTCCTGACTCGACATATTTTTAGGTAAAATTTTAGTCTTATTTACATTAATCTTAAAACCCGAGACCAAACCATAATGGTGAATCAACTGTAATAAGTTTACTACAGAATAATCAGGTTGCGACAAAGTAACAACCAAGTCATCCGCAAAAGCTCTCAACTTATATTCTTTTTTATTAACATATATTCCTTTAATTTCCTGAGACTCTCGAATTTTAATCAATAATATTTCCAATGTTAAAACAAACAACAATGGCGATAAAGGACACCCCTGTCTAGTACCTTTCTCTATTGTGAAAACCTCCGACAAACCTCCATTAACAATAAGTTGTGCTGTTTGTTTTTGATATATTACCTTAAGGGCTTGTAATATGTTTTCACCAAAATTCATTTCTTCCATTACTCTTAGCATAAAATGCCAATTCAGTTGGTCAAATGCTTTTTCAGCATCTAAAAATATGAGCCCTGCAGGAACTTGGTTGTTCTTATCTAAGTATTCTAATAAATTAATAATTTGTCTAACATTGTTTTTCATATACCTTCCTGTTATAAACCCTGATGTCTGCAACTTATTTTTACGAAGCATCTGAATTGATGAATTCTCTTCACCAAAGATACTACATAGTCCCAAAATAATGAATACAGATTTGCTTCAGATAATCTCACCTCATCAGATTCTTTTTTCAGGATTACATCATAAAACTAATTTGAACTCCAAAGCCATGACATTGCCTAATATCAAATACTAATATTGATATAAACATTTCCTTTTGATTGCTGATATGGTGAAATCATTGTAAATTCAGATTCAGAAGAACATTAGAACAAAGGCTTAACTGGTTGAGCATAATATCCCATTCAACTTCTCCTGCTGGTAATGAAAGCCATGCTGTCTCTGCAATTGGAGACATTTAACCATCAGGATGACGAGGCACTAACTGCTGCATTGTTCATAAATTCTTCCCTTTTGAAGCTTTCCCATTTGACATTTGTCATTTCTCTTGTGATACCAAATTCCAAAGTGTTAGCCTATCCCAATTAGACCGTCTGGATATCAGCTAGCAAAATTCTCAGCCATAGCCTGGCTAAGCTGGAAGTCTGGAGACTGACTGAAGGACATACATATCTGCATATCCTTCCATTTTTCTGACTTTTATTTCCACTCAGTCAGGCTAATGGTTGCATAAAATTACAGAAGAAAAACTCCTTAGGAACTTTCTCCACCCATCATTCTGAGATGATTTTAATTTAGCTACATCATGTTTTCAGTTTTATACTCCAGTTTGTCCCCTGTGACATTTCAGGATAAAAGAACAAACATTTCAGAATATCAGAGAAATGCTGAAATACATCCAGCAATCTCTTCTTTATAATGGCTTCACCATGTCAAATCCTGTGCAGTGCCTGGATCCCGCCATCCTTAAATATCATTACAGCCACTTCTATTCTTAGAGAATGAAAATGCCCACATGATTTCTCTCTGTGTTTGTGTGTTTTACATTGTTTTAGGCAAAAAAAGATATTCAACAGAAAGCAAATACCAAGGTGAGTAGTAATACGGACAATTCTGAGTTTTCCATTTGCATACAGTATTTCTATGTTTTTTGATCGCCCATATAGATCTCTACTTTTTTTTCATAACCTGTCTAATGGATAAAGATGAATGTGTGAGGGTGCTGGAATGAAAGATGCCAGTAAACCTTTTTTTTTTTTTTTTTGAGCTTCTTTTGTCTTCCACTATACCCATTTTTCCACCAATGGTCTTTGAAGTTCATCTTCTTCAGAACAATTTTTGATTTATTTTGTTTCTAGCAAACCGAGCAGCCTGTCCCCGTTGTTCCTGTTACAAAACCGGAAATAAACGTGCCTCCACCTCAGGAAAGTCCAGCAGTGAAGCCAATTGTGAAGCCTCCAGAAGCTCCAGTACAACAACCACAACCAGCCTCAGCAGCTGTGGTTGTCACCAATGAAGCTCCCAAGGAGATGACCAAGGAAAGATCTTCTTCTACTCCCACACCCATAAGTAAATTCTTTTGGAAAAAGGTATGTTTGGATCAGTGGTGGGATTCAAATATGTGAACAACTGGTTCTCTGTGTGGATGCCGCTTCCGGAAGTCCATTCTGGGCTGGGCAACAAAAAATTAGCTCTCCTCTATGCTGAACTGATTCAATTGCGTTAACAAAGGCAGAATAAATCTAACTCTGGATTCCTGATAGAATCTGCAGTATAATAAGTAATGGATCAGAGATTTTCCACCTATAAATTATCACAAATGTATAAACTGTGTGCAATTGGTAATCCCTTATACAGAATAGTTCATCCAAATAGACTGTTGGCATTACCTGAAAACAAAGTTCTGTGATAGAGTTTATAAATAAGATGATATAAGGACAATTAAATTGATTAGTAGTTTTTTTGTTGCTGTTGTTTTTGTATTCCTATTTAATTTCTCAATTGATGTTTGATTAGTTTCCATGAGTTGCTGGGAATATTTTTTTCTACTACATTTTTTATTTAAACAAAGGTGCATTTTCAAGAAAAATAATTAATGTTTCTTATGCAATTCCAGCCAGGTAGCCATTGTATTTCTAGGAGTTACCTAAGCAGGTTGCTCATGTATTATTTCCACTGTGATTCAGTGTGATGGCAGATTGGATAAGCAAGAAAACTTGAGTTTGGTATAAATTCAGTGTAACCTGGAGGAGCTGTATCACAGATGCAACATATCCCATTGCTATTGTTCTCTTAGAGGAATCATAAATGAAGTCACAGAAATATTTGAGAACAATCTTGGTCATCTCCTTGCATGATTGATGGAAAAATGAGAACATCTAATAAAGATGCAATCCACAACCACATCTAAGCAAAAATAAATAAATAAATATCTGGATCTGGATCTGGAGGCTGAAGTCCAGCAATTGCAGAATAGAATAGAATAGAATAGAATAGAATAGAATAGAACAGGGTAGGGTAGGGTAGGGTAGGGTAGGATAAGGTAGGATAGGATAGGACAGGATAGAACAGAACAGAACAGAACAGAACAGAACAGAACAGAATAGAACCACTGTGGTGAACCTATGGCACACGTGCCACAGGTAGCATGCAGAGCCCTCTCTGTGGGCACGCGCACTGTCACCCCAGTCCTAGGTCTTCAGCTGGGTTTTATAAAACCTTTTCGTTTTAGGCCTCTGCCACCATGTGCAAAAAAAAAAAAAAAGGTTCAATCAATCAGTCAATTTCAACTTCTGACGAAAAAAAAAAGATCCCGCAAAGTTGGAATTGATTGATTGAACTTTTTAGTCCCACCCAGTCTGCCATTACCACTGCAGCTACCCAATGGGCCACGCCCACACGGCACCCGACGATACATAAATGGGCTTTGGGTTGAAGTTTGGGCACTCAGTCTCTAAAAGGTTCACCATCACTGGAATAGAATATCAGAGTTGGAAGGGATCTTGTAGGTCTAATTACACTCTAACGTCACAAATCCGCAGCACCTACGCAAGGATATCTGCAGTAACTTCTAAGTCATGGACATCACAACTCCAACATTTGTGTCCCATCCTGCCAGTGCTACTGCTCACAATGAATAGATTTCAAGTCAAGCATGTTCCCAAAGCAAATGATTTCCTGAATATCTCTCTTAGATCACAAAGGTCCCTCCCAGGTTATAGGTGTATCACTAGTGAAATTAAACCCACTGAATTAACATTATATGACAGGAAGAATTATATACAATATTCTCAAGAGAATCCCGTACACTATTTTATTTTTAAAAGTAAATCATGAGAGAAGCTTCCTGCTTTACTGAGCATGAGTTCAGCTTTGGAAATAAAAATAAAAATTTCTAAATGGTGTATGGATGGAGGAATTAATGCTGTTATTGTGAGAGATATTAGAAATATAGCTGCTAAAGTGAGAGTGTGAGAGAGAAGCTGGTTATTTAAAAAAATTAAAGGTTTGTTTTCAGTGGTATCATATTTTAATGTGATAATATGTTTTCATTATTAGCTGCATATAAGCATTTGATATAATCTTGGATTATATCTGACATTGTAGTTTTTTCTGTCATCAGATGGTATTACAGGATTATTACAGTGCACTGCGTATAAAAAAATAAAAACAGACTTTAGCAACAGACACAGTGATAACATAATAGATAATTATGAGTTAATTATGAGTGATAAGTGTTCCAGTTTTCTTTAAAATTGCTAAATTACTAAATTATAATTTTAATTAAATTAACTCTGCTTCTGTTAACTACCACTTTTCTCAACCAGTTTAATTAAGACTATTTCTATTTTTTTTAGTTAACAAAATTGCCAGCTAAATTTCTGACGATAACTCTTAAATGAAAAGGTGGAAGAGCATCATTACTAAGAACACTAGCACTGATGATGTTACCTAGTTTGAGTAATGTAACGTCTGCAAGGAAACAGTCAAGCTCAGAAAGCATCAAGGATCCTTCATTTCCACCCTGAGCTATAAATATTCTCCTTTATTGGTAACACCATTACTTCATACCACACAACTCACAGGTCCTTAAATTAATCTCTAATAAGGACTGCATAATATAGCATAGCTAGGGCATAACATTGCCAAATTCATGGTAACGTTTATTATACTAATGAAAGTGAAAAGAGAAATCTGATATCAGAACACTAATTTTGGCAGTAGCCAGCATTTTTCACAATGTCTCCTCCTTCCCCTTCTCCTTCTCCTTCTCTTCTCACTATGGAGAAAGATCACTGTTTTAGTTTACCTTTATACTATTTAATCTTCATTCTTATTAAACCTTCTACCTTACTCCTCAAATTCATTTATCCTTCTCTGAGTGGCTTAAAACTTTTAACATCGTATAAAATTAATGCTAATCAATAAAGCATAACTTCACTGTAGATCAGCTCCTGGTATCCATCTGGATTTATTTACAATAACATTGGGTTAGTCATGCTACATTAAAATTCAGTCTGAAGGGGTGTGTATGTGGAGCATAGAGTCCAGTTTAATTTTTTTTTAAATGGGAACAAATCAGTAACGCTTGAATCTAAAAATATCCAGAGAAAAGAACTTACTGAGTCTTATGATATGATCATAAGGACAAGTTGCTGCCTGCAGAAACCTCTGGTTACATTCTAAGAGTTTTCTCCTAATTAAATTTAAAATATGACTTCTGGATTGCAAGCAAAAGAATGTGCAGAAGAGGTGCACAATGCTATGCTATGCAGCTAGTGGTGGGATTCAGCTGGTTTGCACCATTTTGGCAGAATTTTTTGTTGCAAAACCTGAATTTGCTTCCTCTTGAAGCAGAACACCTAGTCTGCCATTCTTCAGCCTCACTGAGAGAAGGCCTTCTGAATCTCATCTTGACTCATCTAAATGTCTTGAATGAATTCACACATCCTTGATAACACTTCTTTTGAATCATTGCAGACTCCCACAGATGACATAGAGGTGATAAACACCGAAAGAATTGAAGCATCTCCAGAGACCCCAGTGAAAGTTGAAAGTAGGAGCCAGGAAGTTGCAGAAACCAAGTCTAAAGGAGAGGACAAATCTGAGAGGACCAAAACAAATCTGAGAAAATTCTTTAAACTGGTAAGATGGATATTCCTGGATTTGTATATCAGCTATAATACAGTTATTGAGTAGTCAGACAGCTTAAAATTTAATTAATTAATAGTAAATATGATGGGACAATCCAGTGCCAGCTAATTAAAAAGTTTTTGTAACAGCCTTACAGTACATTGGGCTGGGTTCACCAAATTAGATGGACGGATGATCATTTTTACCATACCAACAGTGAACCCAACTTTGGGTCTCCATTTCACCAAACATATGGCTAGTAAGGAATATAAAAGGAATGTTAAAAGTTGCCTATAAGTCCACCTCACATTATATCTATATAGTTCATCTATAGCACTTGATGGTAGGCAGAATTTTAATGGCTCTCAAGGAGCTAGAGATATGCGCCTGAGTAAAGGGCTTTTTCCTGTTGAATGCCACTTCCCTTGAGTTTCACCTTCACCCTGCATAAGGGTTCAGGGTGGAAAATGGGAATCAACAGTTTCTATGCTAGCAATAGCCATTATCTAAATCAGTGGTTCTCAACCTGTGGGTCGGGACCCCATTTGGGGTCGAATGACCATTTCACGGGGGTCGCCAAACAACGCAGTCTGCCATTTTTTTTCCTCTTTTCCTTAGCTGTGCTACTCCCTTTTATTCTATTGGCTTTTGAAAGCCAATAGAATAGGCTCTCTTGAATAGAGTCTAATTCTATTGGCTTTCAAAAGCCAATAGGAATTGTCCAGGCTGTCTCTGCCCTGCTGAGCCCGCCAAAAGTCCCATTCTGCAAATGGTCCTGCACCAGTTGAATAGTCCTCGACTTACGACTGGTTGAGTAGTCCTCGACTTACGACCGGTTGGGGGGTCGCGGCATTAAAAAGGTTGAGAACCACTGATCTAAATATACCACAACTACCTGAGTAGCAATCCACCAAGCATCAGGCCAGGTATTAATTCAAAAGGGCAGGAGGGAAAAAAAAATCCTCAAATGTAAATCTTTGAGAATATATAAAAGTCCCTGGTATTTTTTTCACTACATGGACAACCATTTACCATGTGAATTCTTTCATATTTGTCTACAATAAAGATTCTAATCTAACCTTGTCACCTCTGAGACTTTCCTACCAACTCAAGTTGAGAAGTCAAATAAGAGTGAAGTGTCAGGAGTTCTACGATCTACTAACAAATCCAGGTCTAAAACCTGACACACTGAAACAAATCATTTCTGAGGGAGAAATTAATAGACTATATTAAGAAAGACATAAAAAAGTATGATAAATGATGTGACACACCATAAGCGTATTTTAAATAGACATTCATGGGAGACTCCCATGCTTGGCAAAAGGCTCCCTAGAGGACATTCCAATGAGAAAAGAAATCACATGCTTTTTTTGCCATTGTGTTCCTAAGTCCTGAAACAAAAAGGCTCAGCTAGACTCCCATGTACAATCATTTATAATCATTGTAGGAACGTGGAAGAAATTCATATAATCCTTTGTTATTTTAGTCAGTCAGGAATGACACAGGTGTAACTCCTCCTGAAATAAATGGGCCAGCATCAGATCACCAAGTAAGTGGATGGATCCTTCAGTTTTCCTTCGGTGATGGTTCAACTGAACTCTTCTTCTGGGGCTTAATGAGAATGTACATGATCCTTCACTATTATATTAGATATACAACTTTATGTATTCCCTTCTGCCTTTGTTTCCTAATATTTTTTGTACTGAAAGTGGCACTGTTGGTTTAAATTCTTTCAAAAACCACTCAATTCAAAATTGAAGCTAAAATGAAGAAAATTTGCATTGTTATAATATAGTTCTCAAATGCTGGATCAATTGGTCAGAACATTTCTGTTTAATACAATATTTAAACAGATTACGGCATTGCTTCTCAATCTTGGCAACTTTAAGATGTGTGGATTTCAATTACCAGAATTCCCCAGCCAAACATGCATTTAACTTAAAGTTTCCATGGTTGAGAAACATTGGTTGAGGTAATAGCCTTGTCATTATTATTGAGAAGATGAACCATTCCCATTCTCCTCTACCTCATATTCTTCAGAAGTATTGGATTGTGACTCCTAGTATTTCAGCCCAGTTAAGGAAGGTTAAATTAAGCCTGGATATTCAGGCTTGAAAATAATGTTTCAGTCTTATAAAATTTAAGAACTATTCAGTGATATGCCTATGAACTACATATAAACCCCAGAGAGTGCTTTGGTAAAACAGCTGACTAAAGTAGAACAATATAAAGTGGTTGCAGCATTTATAGACACAGACATGGGAAAACTGGCTTTTCAGATTAAACATACAATATGATAATTTTAGGCCAAATTTTCAGACAGATTTAATATTTCTTTTAACTTCAGAAACTGTCTCTGCAATTGCAACCATTTTGAAAGTAGAGATGCAGACCAGAGCACGGAGCCTAAGTTAATTAAATGTAGAATCTTCAAAAACCAAATTGTCATTTGATGCCCTTGCATCATTTTTGTTTTGAAGTCTTTAGCAAATGCCTGATTATTACCCTACTTTTGCTCTATGAGCCAATTTAAAAGAATGTGTTGGTTTGTTTAGTTAGTTCCTTATTCCAGACTTCCAACTACAAAAGATGATGGACGAATATTAACCTCTTTCTACTTTGTAATTTGAAACTGCAGCCATAACAACAGTGCCATTTTGTATCTTGTTCTTTATCTGTACTGTATCCTGCTCTTTTTTCCTTTCTTTGTCTAAAACACGCTCTCTTGTAATTGTCATGTCTTCGCAAAAACAATAAAGTAAATGAAACAAAGTCATCTTTTCTCCATTTGTGGTTCCATGCAGAATTTTACAGGCTCATTTGACTAAAATTAGGAAAGTCCATCTAACTCCCTGTACAACTTAGGCAGACACCGTTTCTAACTTTACCAAGAACTTTAGGGGCTCCGAGAGGAACAGTTTCTAGCTCCAAAAAATTAATTTATTTATTTATCAAATTTAGATGCCACCCATCTCACCCTCAGAGTGACTCCGTGCAGTGTGCAAACAGTATTTTTTTCCCTGCCAGAATAGATCCCTTTCCCCAAAAAGAAAATAATAAATTCTGGTGTGGGAAAATACAAGAATAAATATTTATTCTTACATAACAATACAGTAAAATCAAGACAGGGTTATTTTGATGTTTTCACCTCACATTTCTTTTCATCTTTGGATCCAGATCCCTCCCAAATGGCTAACTCTTTCTTTCTTCCTTCCTTTCTTCTGTGCCTCCCAGGTCTTTCCAAAGATCAGCTCTGAATTCCTTTATACCTTATGATTTGGATAGATTACATACTATCAAACCTTATGTTGATTTTTGAAATCACAGCGATAGATGCCAATCCACCATATTATAGATAATAGGCTTTGGATATTCTGGATACAGCTTCCTGGCCACTGGCCTTGTTAGTGTGACCTTGTGTATGTTAAAATCATAGCATCTGGAGGGCACTAAGATGCCAGCTAGCCTTGCTGTAAAAGGTGATACAAGTTGGCAGGGAGGAATGCTGAAACGGCATATGCCAGTGCCAGAAGAGTTATCTGCTCCTAGCTCTGGGCTGAACATCTTCCTCTTTTTTTATCCTTAAAGAAAATAAACATAAAAATCTAGAAATAAGGGAAGGGAGAGATATTGTAGAAACCCAGTGATGCCGTTTTTATTCACATAAACACAGGACTACAGAAGATCACTTATGTGGCAGATTATGCTTGTTGTACAGTTTTTTTTTGCCCTGTGCCAGGGATTTCATCAGGGTATGGTTAAAAATTATGTCAAGAAAATTATCCTGATGGCATAGTTGTTTTTTATGATATGAAAAAGTATATATCTGTGGGGTTGCTGCCAAAATCACCATGACTTTTTGGAAGGGAAGAAAGAAAGAAAGAAGGAGGGAGGAAGGAAGGAAGGACCAAAAATAATGTAGATAGGTATTTGGTTTCTGATTTCTCCATTCTTTGTGTTCCAACTGATTTGTAGTACTTATTAACATATACTTGCTTAAATTGTCTGACACGTTGATTTATTTATTTTTTTTAATGTACTGTATGGACACCCCTGAACCAAGCCCACAACTGGCATTTACTGCTGCATCCATGATCTCCTGAGCAAACAAATTGTTCCCCATTTGGGCTTTCATTTTGCAAAGCAAGCTGCCCATTTCTTCTTTTAAACCCCCCAACCAAGTAACCCTGTTTGAAACTGCTCTAGACCCTGGACTTCACAGACAGACCTTTGACCCAGGCTGAGAATCGAGACCCTGCAAGCAAAGGGAGCCGCAAGAATTCAACAGACAACCCAAACAAGTCACAAGAAATTCCCCAGAAAACCAAGGATCCACAAGAATCCAGACAAGAAGAAGCAGCCGAGATAGACTCCCTTCAGAATGGAGAGGATGCAGCACAACAAAGCCCCCTCAAGCGAACGGAGAAGCGACAGACCTTCGGAGGGTTTCTCAAGGGCCTTGTAGGTTACCTTTATCTTCCCTTAACAATCCCCACTTAGCCAGCATTTCTGGAAGAAAACTTTTTTGAGGAAATGAGAATAGCTCCTGCACCTTCATTCTTTTCCCAAGCAAGAATTGGGAGACTATTGGTTTGAAGGGAAGGGGCACCAAACTGGAGGGAGATCTGGCTCTTCTGAGCTTACCAAAAGGAGAGCTATAAAAGCAAGTGACTAACAAATTCTTTATTCTGGATTGCTCTAGAACTCGGATGAATTGGAATCCTTAGCCAGCCTGGTGCCCTCTGATTCTATTAGGACCAGCTCCCAGAATTCCCTACTAGCACATCTAAAAACTGACAGGGATTCTGAGAGTTGAGGTCTAAGTATATCTAGAGAGTGCTAGATTGCGAAATAGTTATTGTGCAGTTGAAAAATGGATCAATATGGATTTTTATTCAGTAAATGGTTTTCCATCTGGGTTATAGCTAAATTATCAGAGAAATCTGCTTAATTGCCTATTTTTATTTTTATTTTTGGCCCAGAAATCTCTTTCCAAAGTCATGCCTTGAATTAAAGAACTATAGATCTCTGTTCATATAACACACTGGAGTTTAAATTAAAAGCTTAGTTTGGTGCTTCATGTCAAGTTATCGTATTATTCGTTGTTGTTTCTCACTTCATTGGAAATGATTGCATCTGTATCGGACTATGGGGGAAATGTTTTCTCACTTTTACTTTTACAGTTACAATATATAGAATCTGCTAATCAAGATAGACTGAGAAAATAAATAACAATAACATTAACAACAACAATGATAATAACAATAACAACAACAACATCCTGGAAGTTGATCATGATGATCTATTTCCACACAACAGTATTGCCAGGTTGAGCTTGCTAGGGAAGATAAATATCTTCCATTAAAGATATTTTACTTATGCTGTAAAGATGATGCTAAAGACCTAGCAGATTCATTCCCACAAAATGCTAATTGCAGTTTGTTTTAATCTTACTGTATGCAGTATTTTTGTGGCTTTGTGCGTGAAGCCAATCTATCTGAATTCTTTGGATTTCAATATGTATGGGGTAACTCCAAAAAACAGATTGATAGTAATCATGTTAAATGTGTTGCGTTGTACACATCAACTGAGTGCATTTCTATCCTCAGGGAAAAAAAAACAACTTTTTTTTATTCCTGGAATTTTTGCTGCAGCAAACTACATTCCCTGAGTTGTGACTCAACTGCACATTGTAGAACCTGGGTTCAACATTTTTATCCTATTTTTATCTGCTCCTCTTTTCTTTCATGTGTCTTTCAGACTATGAATCCTCCAGCCAAGCTCTATGCACTTATATATTTATTTCAAAGAGCAAGCCCAAGGTGACATTCAAAGGAGAACTATGCTAGAACCATTCCCAGTGAATCTTGTCCAAAGTCCTACCAGATGAGAAACTAACAATAATATATAAGGCACCCCATAATCCTTTGGGAGCTATTTGTAATCCATGTTTTATTTCATTTTTCCTTACTGAAGTGAAGTGAAATGTTAATATTATTTTTAAGTAGGATCAAAACAGTAATGAGTTAGAATCACAGAAGCTCCATCAAGCCAACCTCTTCCTGTGTCTCTGCCCATGCAAAGCCTTATAGCACATAGGACAGAGAAAAAACTAAGTTAGGACAGAATATTTTGAGGAATAATGGGATATGAATGGGCAAACCTTCTGAGGACTAATATAAATATATTACAAGTTGGTGTTTTGAATATGACAGGTGGGGTTTTATATGCACAAATGCAGAAAAAAAGTGCAGGTCATGTAATTAGTGACCAAATGTTGTCTTTAAAAAAAGTTCCCAATCCTTACGCATGCTAAATTAAAGCTAACTCTTAACAGTCCAAAGGTTTTGAGTGAAATGTGAGGTGTTTATGTTGTGATGCACATTTAAAAAAAAAAACTGCTGGATCTTTGATTGTATCATAGTGACTGCCATCTTGATTTGTTTTTGTCCATCAAAAACCCCTCAAAAGTGTTCACTGGTCTAAGTGGCAAGTTTCATAATCTTTATTCCTTCTCATACTTACTAAGAACAAAATAAATTACAATAAAACATCATGCAAATGTGTAAATCATGAAGCCCATATGCATATATTGTATGTTACAGCTTTTATTCCACATGGAATTTGCCTCATATTGGCAGTAAGCTTGCTTGTTTGTTTATACAGTAAAATGTGCACACGTTTCTGGATGCAGACTCCTCCATCATCTGGATAAAGAAAATAGCCCACTAAAGAGAGAAATAAATAAACACACAATTTCCTGAGGATCTTCAGCAATATTTACATGTTTCTCTCCCTTTTCTCTAGAGTCCCAAACGGATGTCAGATGCTGGGGTACAAACAGATCCTGTGTCTATTGTGTCTGTTGTGAAACCCAAATAATTAACCACTGGAAGTCTCTGAAGAATCACTGGATCACCATTACTTTTCGTCCTTTCAGGACAAAAAGAAAAAAGAAATGATTGGTATTGTTTATCCCTCCCTCTCTCCTTCCCTTCTTTTCATGGCTGTTGCGAACTAAGTCCTAAGGGTTGATATACAAATCCAAGGTCATCCTAAGTAAGGTATTTTGTGCGCTGTCTGTGTGGGTGTAGGTGTGTCTGTTTCCATTATCATCCACCCACTGCTTCTCCCACTGCCTTGCCATCCTCAGTGCAGTTCAGTCTGTTGAATCACTATGTACATCTTCTGTCCTACTGCCATGATCACACTACCTTCCATGGGATGACCATGAGGCAGATTTATCTAATTCAGTGTTCTCATTGGTCATGCACTCAAAAAGGGAGCATCTGATTGGTTTAGCTGCCTGACATTTCTTTTTTTAACACTTAGCAATAAAATGGAGTGGTGGGGCTGCAGCCAAATGAAACACTATCGAACCTTCTTACAGCTCTGGATGCATCTATTGGGCTAATATATGCTTTGAGAGACTACCTATTACAGAACATATTCTCTTAAAAGTTAAAAAAATAACAAAAGCTTACAGAAGCAATAAGATTTAAAGGGAGTTCAGCATCCAGAACATCTGGTAGATTCATCAAAAACCAAAAGTGGATAGACATTACCAGTATGGGGAAATGGGTTAAGATTTGTTTCATTCTTTTTTCTGAATCCCAAAAACAAAACCAACATAAAGGAAACTGGAGAACACCTACATACAAATTTATATACATTATGCATTTCTAATATATGCATTTCTGAACTGAGTACATAATTTAGACACTGATATTTCCTATACATCTTTTTAGCTGCAAATCACATCACAGAATTGTGCAAAGTGTGGATTGTGATGCAGAAGAAACACCTCTAAATTCACAAAAAGTGACCTGCATACAGTATGTTTGTATTCTTTAAATGGAGGAAAATATATTTCTCCTCTGTGCCTATCCAAACTCTATGGAATGTAATTTCCATCCCAATTTCTTCAAATGTCCTAATTTTTAAGAGATCATCTCAGGGCATCTGATAGCAGGTCCTACGGCCCATTTATCACTCCAGAGCCCTGTTAGATGAGAACAGCAGACGAAGTCTGATTGAACTTTTTGCAAGTAACAGATTTTATTAAAATATGTAAACTTTCATGAGTGAGACTGTAGCTCTTGAAACGTACATCGTTCTATAAAAGATGCTATCAGAAACCTCTGGATGTCTTGGTTATCATGGACTAGTCCAGCTCTCTTTCTACAATTAGAGCAGTATATAAGCCCCAGTAAATAAATAATATAAATAATGCAGTTTCATGATCTCTGATTATGAAAAATTCTTTGCAATTGCTCTTGGCTGCAGCTAAATCAATCATTTCAGAACCAGTTTGGAGTATGAATGAATTCTGAAAGTGTCCTCTTACTCAGATTAGAATATCAGTCTTGGATCATCTGTCTTAGTTTGCCCAGTTATGCAAAGAATACCATTTGTATTAATGTGTTTGCAATTTGTTTATTTTTCAGTAATTTACATAATGTAAATTCACAGTTTCCCTGCTCTGTGAGAACATAATTGCATATAGAAGCATGAAGAAAATTAATGGTTAATGGCTGTTCGTGTTGTACTTATTAACATCATTTGAACAGATCTATAACAAACGGGCATCTCTAAGGGGCAGTAAAAAAAAAAGCCCAATAGCAACTGTGCCTGTGCAAATCAAAGCTCCGGCCCCTTTTTGTGTGTGTGTTATGTTTGGCTTTCTTGGCCATTAGTATGGGATGAGCTATGAAATGGTGGATAATTCTGAAAGCAAAGGCTAATCGATATGCAGGCTCTCCCTCTTCAAAGCAAGTGGACGTTTTCTTTATAATTGCTCAAAATCTGAGTCCATTCCACCCACGGGATATCTGTTCGAAGTGGCAAACCAACTTATATTTAAGATTAAAAACAAACAAACCATTTGGATACTGAATCTGGCCTCTTGTAAAAACAATGCACAAATAGTCTTCTACTTACGATCACAATTCAGCCCAAAATTTCTGTTGCAAAGCGAAACAGTTATGTGAGTTTTGCCAGATTTTATGACCTTTTTTGCCACAATTGTTAAGTGAATCACTGCAGTTGTTAAATTAGTGACACAGCTTCCCCGTTAACTTTGCTTGTCCAAAGGTGACAAAAGATAATCTCATGACACCAGGACATTGCAACCATCATAAATATGAGCCAGTTGCAAAGCATCTAATATTTGATTGCATGATCATGGAAAGGTTGCAACGATTATAAATGTGTAAAATTGTCATAAGTCACTTTTTTCAGTACCACTGTAACTTTGAACAGTTACTAAATAAATTGTTGTAAATTGAGAACTACCTGTACATATTCTATTAGGATCTGAAAATATGTCATGCTTCTCATGGGTGGTCTTGGGTTAATTTTAATCTTAGCTAGGAATATTGTGGGTTATAGTAAAATAGTGGTGCTAACGTGGAGATAAATATTCTTAAGAGCCTCTCTCAAAGTGTAGAAAGACTTAGAGATAGCCTTGGAGAAATTATACAGAGGTGATTACAGCAGGGGTGTCAAACTGCCAGCACATGGGCTGGATGCATCATCTGGAAGCCGCGCCCACCCTAATGGCAAAACCATCCCAATACGTCGTGCAACATCACATGACGTCGCGACTTTGACATGTCTGCTTTAAGCCCAAGAAAAATGGAAAACAGCAGAAAGAAGCCCAGTTTCGCTCCTTAATACACTAAAGTCTAACAATGAGGGAGGAGAAAACTCAATCAGGCATTCAAATTCTCTGACTATGCCCTATGTCAGTAAATAAAGTTTCAATAAAACTCGTAGAATTGGTTTTCTGTTCTAACCTGTCTCAAAGAGCTGACAGTAAACCAACTTCAAACAAACCCTGTTAGAGGGAATCAACTGAGTAACATGTACTGGCATTAAAACACAAAGATACTTAAAGAGAACTTTCCAAAATGAGAAGTTAATTAGCAAGCTAAGAATAGCTCTGACAAATAAGTTAATATAGACAAAAGAGTGTTGTTTACGTTCGAGTTAAGGCAAATTTCATATCTCCTTTTCTAGGCCACCCTTATTTGTAGTTTTATCAGATAACAATGCACACTTAAGATAGTAAATGATGAGCTGAGCCATTGCTCAGTATTATGTGATGTTTGCAAATGCAGTTGTATAGGGCGATTGACCAGAGTATGGAAGTTTTCTAAGGCTGCAGTTATAAAGATAATATAATGTAAGACTCAGTGGACAGTGGGGTTCATTTCTGAGTAGGCTTCCTTAGGATTGTAGTGGACAATAAGAAAAGGATGAGATTAAAATGCTTATAGTTAGATGTACATTATATAATCAGGGGAATCCTCTTTGAAAAGTACCATTTTCCAGGGAAAAGAATAATAGAAAACCCCCAAAACCTCCATTGCAAGTTAGTGTCTAAACTATTTTCATAACACACGAACGTACAACAGTGGGTTACAAGAGCACCCCACTGTTGGTCATGAATACCAGGGCTGCATTCATATATTTTTAATGGGATTTTTGAAATTGGTTTTCAAGTGGTTTCAGAGAGTTCTCAAGTTACAACTACAGCTGGGACAGAATTTCCATCACTAAGTGATGTGGTTGCTAAGTGAGTCACTTATGACCTTTCCTGCCACAGCCTTTAAGCAAATCATACAGTTGTTAAGCGAATCAGGCTTCCCTCATTTGACTTTGTCAGAAATCCCCTGGGAAGGTTGCAAATGGTGGTCATGTGACCTTGGGACCCTGCAACCATTGTGATTATAATGCCAGCTGCTAAATGTCTGGATTTTGATCATGTGATTGCATTGTCACATGATGGTCTTAAGTGCAAGGGCTGGTTATAAGTCACTTTTTTTCAGCGTGATTGTAACTGCGAATGGTTGTCAAACAATGATTGTGAGTCGAGGACTACCGGTAATTTTATTGAAAAAGCTGAAATGTACAGGATTTCTCACTAATTCTCATCTCTTTCTGACTTCATGTAATGAAATGCAAAAAGTTTGCTTCTCAAAAGTAATTAAAGTATTAGCCAGAATCCAACACAAGGGGGCAATATGGAAGCCCTTTTATCACTAACCTAAAGAACATATTTACTTCTGTGTTATTAATATAATTTGTGTGTTATTATGCAGGGCAAGATCAGATTGTTAGGTTATACAATTATATGATTTTTTTAAAAAAATGGATTAGAAGAACAAATGCAAATTATAACTGATTTACCAACATTCTGTGGTCGGAACTTTTTATAGCACATCTGTGCTACACATACAAACACATTCTATTCATTATTGTAAAAGTAAGGAACAGAAAGACTAACGTTATAATTTAAACTAGCACCTGAATTTTAAATACTTGTATATTTTGATTTCCTTCTGATTCAATAAACATTATTTAAGAAACCCTATTTCCTTTTAATCACTTATTTAAAGATTTTTATTAATTCTCCAATTTTGCAAAACTTGGGTACTACTTATTAATGCTTTTTTACTGTTTTCTGAAATATATTTAGGTTGTATCAAAGGTCCACACCAGATGTTGGACACTCAAGGACACTTCGACATTAACTGAATTTTTGATGAGAAAATGATACACATGAACACAGAAAACTGTAATCTACACTTCTCCAGCCAAATGATTGACAGTTGTGCATGTGTGTGTGCGTCTTTCTTGCTCTTCCTCTTGGGTGGCCACTTGACTGGGGCAGACTGCTGTAAATCAATTTCATATTACATATCATATATTAAGTTTAAATTAGTACAGTAATTCATCTTTTCTATATTTGAACCTCATTGGAAATTGAATATTCGGCAATATACTGAAGTTCATGTTTAGACTGTCAATTTGACCTAGTTCAGATTTCTGAATCTTGCATTAAGGAGAAAGGAAATTTTGGGGCGCCAACGTTCAAAGTGAATTGAAACATGCTCAGGAAAGTTACCAAGATGGTAAAAGGGTTGGAACAAAGGAATAGTTAAAAGATCTAGATATGTTTAGCTTACAGAAGAGACAACTGAGGAGAGATGACACCAATCTTCAAATATCTGAAGAGTGATCCCACAGAAAGAGAAATAGGTTCAATTCCTGTTGCCCCAGAGGTCAAGACTAGAACCAATGAATTAAAAGTACATGAAGCAAGTTGAGGCTGACAACTGTTGGGACAAGATATTGTTTAAGATGATGAATGCTCCTTCATTAGAGGATTTAAGACAAAGACTTAAACACCCAATGGGAGTTGAAGTCCATACATCTTAAAGGTACCAAATGTTGGGAAACATTGGGCTAGACTATAACACAATAATAGAGTTGGAAGGGACCCTGGAGGTCTTCTAGTCCAACCCCCTGCTCAGGCAGGAAACTCTGTACCATTTCAGACAAAGATTGTCCAATCTCTTCTTTAAAATCTTCCAGTGTTGGAGCACCCACAACTTCTGGAGAGTAAATCCTGCATTGAGCAGGAGATTGGACTGGCTGGTCGCTTTTCTAACTCTATGGTTCTACTGAAATCACAAATCATATGTGACTAAAAATGTGCTTACTGACTTAGTATAACTGCTTGAATAAATAATACTCGAGTTCTATGTTTAGGCTGAAGATTAATATTATGAAAACATAGCATTTATTTTGTATTACTTTACCATAACTCTCCAGCATGCAGGTTTACATAGTTTTTAAAACCATTCCAGATTGCTCCAGTTTACAGCTTCTAGTAAGCGTTTCATTCTAAATTCAGGATGGTTCATTTCCGGGGACTTCTGCAATCAAACCCTTTGAGCGTACATGCCCATTTGTGTTCTTGAATATGTAATTAGGAAAGAAGAAGAAAAGCAGGTTGAGTGAAGGCCTGACTTGGAAAGCTCTCTCTCTCCACATATTTCACTAAAATGAGAAGTACATGTAGCATGAGCCTAGCTCCTCTGGTTTCTAAATCATGGCTTAGAAGTACATGACCTCAGCCATCCCCAACGCACGCCTATCCGCACCCACTTTTTTGAGAAAATACATTGCATATAGTTTATTTTATCATCTATCAATTTGTAAAGAAAACATTTAAACAAAGAATTCGGGAAAACTACAACTTCTCCTTTTCCATGGTGTCTCCTTCAGTGACTACTAACTCTTTACAGACTACTCAGTTTAAGTGCAAAAACAGGAAATCCTGCACCACCTCTTTTGAAGGTGTGTTTTTCCCCTGTAATAAGAGCTTGAAATAAATACCAGATATGAGAGACAAAATCCACAAACTAGCAACAAAAAGGTCCAGAAAAGTCTTACGTAACTCATAAATATGTAGCCCAGATATGGTGGACCTAGTTCGAAGAAAAGAATCACATGCCTCTATCTGTCTTTCTGTCTGTCTGTCTGTCTATCTGTCTGTCTGTCCGTCCGTCCGTCCATCCATCCGTCCATCCATCCAAACAGTCTCAATGGGCTTTGCAGATGCATTGTTTCAAATGGTGCCAGAATGGTAAAATGAGCTACTTTTCTTAAAACTGAACAGAAAAGAACATTATTTTTTTCAATAAAATCCTTAAAAATTTCTAAATAAAGATTTTGAGATAAAGTGGGTTTGTTTCACTCAATTAGACAAATTCAGGAATTGGGTTTAGCTAGTCTAGAGAAAAGAAAGACTAGGGGTGACGTGATAGCAGTGTTACAATATCTAAGGAGTTGCCACAAAGAGGAGGGGGCCAACCTATTTTCCAAAAGACCAGAAGGCAAGACAAGAAACAATGGATGGAAATTAATCAAAGAGAGAAGCAACATAGAACTAAGGAGAAACTTCCTAGCAGTGAGAACAATTATCCAGTGGAACATCTTGCCTTCAGAAATTGTGGGTGCTCCATTACTGGAGGCTTTTAAGAAGAGACTGGACATCCATTTGCCTGGAATAGAATAGGGTCTCCTGCTTGTGCAGGGGTTGGGCAAGAAGACCTCCAAGGTCCTTTCCAACTCTGTTATTCTGTTATTCTGTTTAAGAATGAGAAAGTTCTTATCCAGGGGCATCCCCCCCCCTTTTTTTTTACTAGCATTAAGTGGGTTGCGATAAGAACGAATAACTGGCCCAAAGCATCCAGCCAGCTTTCATGGCTAAAGTGGGACTAGTACTCACATTCTCTTGGTTCTAGCTCAGTACCTTAATCATTAAATCAAACATAGATATGAAGTAGTACAATACAGGATCTTCAAAAATCCAGATGTTATTAATTTGTTGTTTATTAGATGGTATTTGCAATTTATTTAAATAATTTGTGTAGCTCATCTCACAACTGATAACCTCTAGTTGTCATCAAGCTAATATAGAAAACTGCTTCCTTGCTGCCATCTAGTGGTTGCTTAGATTTTTGTGGCCCTACTTTCTTCCTTTTAATGGAGAAAAGACAGTGCAGTTTCATCAAGCATAACTCCTGAGCATATTTGTAAGTGAAATCCAGTTTTTGATTGGATTGAAGAACATACTCAATGAAAATATTTTTTTCCAAAATGGCAATGTTTCCATTTTCTTTCTATGACCTCAGTAATATTATCTTCCTGTTGCATAGTTTGTGTTTTAGATAGCAGTCTTCTTCCTTCAGGTTATTAACTGCTCCAATTTACATTTTTCATTCAAGAAAGCCCTGCCATACTCCAGATCACCTAAAAGAATGTTTGAGAACAATTATTTTATGGACAGGCTCTGTTACAAATATAATCTCTTTCTATAGCATTCACATTTCATTTGCCACCAGACTCAATGCTTACTAAATCTCAAACTCACATATGCTCCTAATGAAGTAATTTGTATAAAATCAAGGAAGGACAATATGGTGCTTCCTACACACTTTGTATTATACGTCCTACAATTCCTTACTACTGATTATGCAAGAAGGGGCTGGTAAGCCTTGAAGCTGAAAAGATTAGCTAAGTTTTCTCAGGCTAAAGATTAGAAGCTGGATGAGGTGCCTTTTTATCTATTAACCATAGGCAATCCTAGTTACAATCACACATAGATTTATATACCGCTTCATAGCACTTTACTGCACTCTCTAAGCAGTTTACAGAGTCAGCATATTGCCCCCAGCAATCTGGGTCCTCATTTTATTCACCTCGGAAGGATGGAAGGATGTCAAACATGAGCCTGTCAGGATCGAACTCCTGGCAGTGGGCAGACTTAGCCTGGAATACTGCATTCTAACCACTGTGCCACCACAGCTCTTATGGCATCTTCTAAATCAGGAGTGTCCAACCTTGGCAATTTTAAGACAAGACTGGCTGGGGAATTCTGGGAGTTGAAGTCTTAAAGTTGCCAAGATTGGATCTAGATATATTGTGACCACCACTTCAAAAATTTTGGGAATTATGGTCTCATACATTTGAAGTACACTATGTTGAGGAACTAGAAACCAAAAGAACAAACATACTGTAATTACTAAAACTCTCAGATAAATCTATTTCCCCAAAACTGATTTTCCAGTGAATCATTAAAAATATATATTTCTGGCTCACCCACGTTTTGATTCACAAGGAAGTGGTTTTCCAGTTACATGCAGCTTAGTCAAAGCAGATTTTCATCCCAATCTTTCTTCATTGCATTTGAAAGATCTCCAAGTCTTCCTCCTAAAACAAATCTGAAGATATTGTCAGTTTGGTGCCAAGCTCTACCAAACATTTACACTAAGAGTAACAAATGCAAAACCTCCACATGTTATCCTGTGATTTTCCCAGATAATATTTATGATTCCATCAATACCCAGTGTTTAAAGGTAAGCACTTTTTCTTAAACAGGAAAAAAATGTAAAAAAAAATACCCTTCCAATGTTATTACTCATAGGACAATGCTTTAAATTCATGTACTAATTCAGATTTCACCCAGTTCTCTAATATAGCTCTATGTAAATTATGTACCCATATATCAGAGCTATTCATTTACATTAACATCTGTTAATCCTATGGATTTTTTTTCTTTCATTCTTTTGCTCCTATTGCTTGATAATAATCAGATGTTAAACTCTAAGTACGTTTTGGGAGACTAAGACAGACACTGCTGATTAAGCAATGTCTGATATCATGTATATGCTAGAATAAGCTTGCCCCAAGCATAGGTGGAGTTACCTTCTTCTGTGAAATCTCAGAATAGTTGGCTTCATTTTTGTTTTTTCCATATTCTTTTTACCTCTTAAGCAATTGTGTAGGGATGCTTTTTTCCAGTGTTGAGAGAATTGTTTCAGAATTGTCCTGTTTTTGTCAGAATGACAGAAGTGATGTCATATTGTGCCACTAGCTCTATTATACATACATGTGTGTGATGTCATACTTGTAGAGAAATGGCTAGGCTGCCACCACAATACCGGTTTCGGGAAAAAATAGTAACATCCCTTTTTGAAAAGGCAATTCTATCTACTAATCAGAATCACTCAATATAAGTTCGTGTCACTTTTTATAATATTTTGTAATATTAGAGAACTATTGAGTTTATTTTTTGTCTTGAAATTAAATTTTAGAAAATTCTTTGCAATTTGATTAATCTGCAATATATACATTATTTTGTTAAGTTTGATGACTTTTTATAGTTTTATAATAGTTTTATAGAAAGAAAAAGAAAAAAAGGAAAAGAAACAAATATAAAAATTACAGCTACCCAAACAAAAGCAACACCACATACATACAAACAAAATAAAGCTTTCTTTAAAAAATAAAACACCACACTGCATCTGGAAACCTGACACTCACCTACTCATTTTCTTTCTCATGCACACAGGAAACTGCTGGATGAAAGTCTGTTCAGACACATATTTTGTCAATCTTCAATTGAGAAAACATTGCAGGTGTGCTAATGTTAATGAGTCAATTGTTTGTAGCTTCAGTATCTTCATAAATGACTTAGATGAGGGAATAGAAGGGAAACTTATCAAATTTGCAGATGACACTAAGCTGGCAGGAATAGCCAACATCCCAGAAGTCAAGCTCAGGATCCATAAAGATCTTGATAGACTTGAACAATGGGCCCTATTCCAACAACATGAAATTTAATATGGAAAAAAAAACAAGGTTTTACACCTGAGCAGGAAAAACAAAAGGTACAACTACAGATTAAGGGAAACCTGGCTCAAAAACAGTAAATATGGGAGGGACATTGGAGGCCTAGTGGACAATCACTTAAACATGAGTCAGCAGTGTGCAGCAGCAGCAACCAAAAATGCTAATACAATCCTGGGTTGTATAAACAGAGGCATAGAATCAAAATCACAGAAGTATTAGTACTGCTTTATAAAACCTTAGTAAGGCCACACCTGGAACACTGCATCCAGTTTTGATCACCACATTACAAAAAAGATGTTGAGACTTTGGAAAAAGTACAAAGAAGAGTAACTAAGAAGATTAAAGGCCTGGAGACTAAAACATATGAAGAAAGTTTGCAGGATTTGGGTTTGGCTAGTCTAGAGAAAAGAAGGACTAGGGGTGAGATAGTAGCAGTATTTCAATATTTGAGAGGCTGCCACAAAGAGGAGGGGGTCAACTTATTTTCCAAAGTACCAGATGGCAGGACAAGAAACAATGGTTGGAAACTAATCAAGCAGAAAAGCAACCAGGAATTAAGGAGAAACTTCCTAACAGTGAAGACAATTAACCAGAGAAATAGCTTGCCTTCAGAAGTTGTGGTTGCTTCATCGCTGGGGGCTTTTAAGAAGAGACTGGACAGTCACTTGCCAGCCTATGCCAAACTACTATAAACCTCTTTCTCCTTGTGGTGAGGAAATCAAACAACTTGGAAAATGTCTCAGTTCCTGTTTTTTTCTCCCTCCCAACAGCTTCTGTTTCAACATCTTGAACTAGTTACTGTACATGTACACCGCTGACAGTTAGTGCAAGGTCTGCTAAGAATAAGATAGTCCTCCCTGGTATGTGATTACAATGTTCAAGCCTTGCCCAGTTTTATTGACAAAGTTCCTTGATTGTTGCTTAATTTCACTTCCGCGCTCTGTTTTCTGCTTCATACACTCGTCTCTCTCCACTTCTAAGCATTCTAGCTGAGGTTTTAATCTCCTATAACCAGCAGAGGGCACTATGATGTACTTTCTGAGGTCATTCCTTTTAAGAATAGCTTCTTCCTATTCCACCTGGACATGCAAATAGTAACATTAGATCTGTAAAGATCTTCGAGGAGGTTCTTTGCATCGCTGGGATTTCAGTTAGGGAGCAGCTCTGAAGAACAACCATGAAGCAAAGAGATCTCCTTGTCAGGACAGCTTCACAGTAGCCTTTGGGACAGGGGAAATGGATGGTATGTTTTGGCTGATTTGGCTTATCAAGACAGATCAGCTCCCCCTCCGTGTATCATCAAGGCAACCTGCTTCATTAGATAGGATTGTGGTAATTAGATTGCTCTGAAAGGGAAGAGAGATTGAATTTATGAGATGGTTCCTTTCCAAAACCAAACTTGATAAACTCTGTCCATTTCTAATAAGCCCCAGTTATGAATACTCCCTTCTTAAGCCTTAGAATTAACATTGCCACTCTTGCAATCAACTGTTTCATTTACAATTTATTTATACAATATTTATGCCCTGTCCCAGTCCTATTAAACTTTGGGGGCAGAACAATAAAATCTAATTAAATAAAAACATGGAAAACTATTTGGTAATAGATCTTCTGTTTTACCCTAGTATTATGGGAAGCTATATGGAGGTTTATATACTACAGGTATTAACAGTTTTTTGCCTTGTAGTTAGAGGGAGCAGAGATGTACATGGGGAAGGTAAAACATGTAAACAAGGTACAGGATTAGATTGCATATTTGTGGCTACCAATTGACTTGTTTTATGTCCCTGGAAATGAGCACCAAGGGTTATGAAACAGAGATGTTTCATCCCCCTGGATTTAATTAAGCAATGTATTTTATCCAAAGACAAACAACTTGAGTAAAACATAGTAAAGCCTGCTGAATAAACTATAATTAGATCTATTGCTCTTTATATATTTGTTTCCAAGAGCAGTTGATTAAAGGGAGCTTCCTCTTCAGAGTGGAAAAGATACCCAGAATATGGGAAGACAGATCCAATTATTGACCAACAATTTGGCCACTGGCCTATCTAGAAATGACCAAAAACTTTTACATCAGGAGTGAGCAATTAATTTTCCCAAGGGGTTACTTGAGAAAGTGGGACTTTTGTGGAGTGCTGGGGAATTCTGGGAGTTGAAGTCCACCCATCTTAAAGCCACCAAGGTTGAGAAAGACTGATGTAGAAACATAGAAAAGTCAGTTTGGTCAGTTAAGGTGCCGGATCAGAGCAGAAACCTTCTTAGCACAAGGAAATCAGCTGGTCACTCTGGGCCAGTCTCTCTCTGCCAATGTTAGGAAAGTCACAGTGGCAAACTACTTCCCAAAAAATTTTGCCAAGCAAACTGCAAGGGCTTGTCAATAGTATCACCAGTTGGCAACCTGAATCTCATCCCCAGGAGCATCTCAAGATTTAAGCAAGCAAATTTGCTAAATATTGGAATAAGTCACAGCTACTCATGTTACAATTTGGGGAAACATACCTCGATCCCAGAAGTGCTGGAATTCTGACCCATTTCCATTTAACTTGATGGAGACATGACATCTCCATCAAGATAAATGATGGAGGGAATGGGACAAATATTATCACAGGTACTGTATCATTGCACCAATGTTGTGATGTCACCAGGGAGGTCACAGTTACTCCGTGGTAAGATGGGCCGCCTATAAATGCTATAAATTATAAATAAATTATGGCTTTGACTGTATCCTAAACTTCTTCAGTTGTTTGTCATTTTCTCCATCGCCACTCTTAAGGCAAAGAATTAATCCACTCTTCCTTTAAATTCAGAGGCTAAATAAAATGAGCAAGCAGTAAGCAATTTAATTCCTATTTTAAATTTCTGTGAATTAGTGCTTCTTACCGAATGCTGTTGTTGACAGGAAGTAAAAACCTGTGGGCTGGGGAAAAACATCAGATGTAAAAGAGGATGCGAAGAAAAGGAATGGGAAAGAGAAGCATTTTCAATTAATCTGAAACACTTATATGCACAGTATTTATTTGGAAGTTAAAAATAGTACGCTTACCTCAAAGACATGTCATAAAGTAACAGCTGAGGAACTCTGTTGGGAAAAGAAACAATGATAATATCATCTGTAGAAGTGTGAAACAAATGAGTTAGTAATGAAGCTTTTAGGATTGGGAGAAATTAAAAACTAGGAAGTCAGAGAAAGAAGAGAACAATGAACTAGACCAGGAAAATAGAGACTTATTTCCTTTTCTTTGAAGGTGTTCCAACTTTTTTTTATCAATTTGAATGGCATCTATAATTTGAAAGCTTGCCTGGAATTCTAATGCAAATGAGTTAGATTAGAGATAGAACAATATAGAAGAACATCTATTTACATGGTTGCTGGGACTCAAAACCGACTTGATGGCATATAATCAATCAATCACCAAATGAAATAATAATGATGTAGTCAGCTTAGTAATGCTCAGGAACTCTTCATTTAAGTAGGTATGGCCTTGGGGGCCCCAGTGTCCCTTTTAGAGCTATCAGGCTGTCTGCCCTTGCAACTTGTTATGTATTGAAAAATAAAAATAAAGAGCTGGCATGTTGCCAATTAAAACATTCTCTTCCAGGCTTTTATTCCCAAGTATATATACAGGTTACAAAAGCTCCTTCAGAATATAAAAATGATGGTCAGTTGCAACTCAAGGCTGTCTCCAAAACTGTGTCCATCTGTTCAGAAAAAGGACAAACAGAGACAATAACATTAGGCGCAGTGTTTCCCAACCTTGACAATTTTAAGGCATGTGGACTTCAACTCCCAGAATTCCACAGCCAGCAATGCTGGCTGTGGAATTCTGGGAGTTGAAGTCCACATGCCTTAAAATTGTCAAGGTTGAGAAATTGGGGGTGTCCTGCAGAGGGACCCGCTGGTCAGTTTAGTATAGTAGTTAAAGGGCTGGCTAGAAACCAGGAGTTCGTGAGTTCTAGATCTGCCTTAGGCATGAAAGCTGTGTAGGTGACATTCTTTCTCAGCCTAACCCACTCCACGGGGTTGTTGTGAGGAAAGTACGAAGAAGGGGTATTGGATATTTTTGCCACCTTATGTTACTTTTAAAGTGAAAAGGGCAGGATCAAAATCTAATCTATCAGTTAATAAATAATAGAGAGGGTTGCAGATAGTATTCTGGGAGATGGATGGTTTGTAACTGATTATGAGCCATCATTTTGTGAGTGGGCAAATCTATACCTTCATTGCTGAATTGAGAAATAGATGCCAATAATTTAAATGCTGAATTGTCAAGCAGGCAGGAGGAGGCCAGCAAAATAGAGATAACCTCATGCAAATATTCCTCCAAATCCTTCAGAAGCTTATGTTGAGTTGCAATGTTTGGAAAGCTGATTTGCAAAGCAAATCCTTTGTTCTGGAGAATGGCAAAGAGGGAAAGAAATAAAAGATGAGAGGAAAGAGAAAGAAACTTCCTTTTGAACACATAGAGGC